GCGCCAGCTGGGCAGGGGATGCGCACGCGGGCGCTTTTGGCCCGTGCTTGTGTGTGCTGCTCTCGCATCTGTGAGCTGTCTGTGCCTGAGCCTGCTTGCCCCATGGTGATGCCTGTCATGTCCCAGCATGCGGGCCCTGGATATGTCTAACAGCTCCGGGTTGCCTCCTGCAGTGCAGATGCCGTCCCGGGTTCCGGCTGAAGGACGATGGGAAGACGTGCATTGACATCGACGAGTGCTCCACCACCTACCCCTGCAGCCAGAAGTGCATCAACACTCTGGGGAGCTACAAGTGCCTGTGCATAGAGGGCTACAAGCTCAAACCTGACAACCCCACCAGCTGTAAAGCTGTCACAGGTGAGAGCCAAGAGCGGGCTTTGGAGGTGGGGATGCTCTTCTAGCGACCGTGGGATGCTGCTGGCGTTGGAGTTGGTCGCAGGGCTCCGCAAGGCGAAGCAGCTGCACCTGACCCATGAAGGAGAGCCGGGAAGCGGTGGGGCAGGGAGGGCGGCAGGTCCATGGGGGATCTGCCCGCATCCCAGTGGCGCTTCCCTGACCCGTCTCCCGGTTTCCCTGTGCAGATGAAGAGCCATTCCTCATCTTTGCCAACCGATACTACCTGCGGAAGCTCAACCTGGATGGCTCCAACTACACGCTGCTCAAGCAGGTGCGGGGGGAGCTGGGAGCAGGACGGGGCACCCGTGCGGCCAGGGGTTCGGGGCTGGCGAGGGGCCCTGCAGGGCAGGAGACCTGCCGGCCTGGGAGTCCGGGCTCTTGGCTTCCCAGGCGGATGGTAGCTCCTGTATAACAAGCAGCTCTCGCTGTGAGCATACGGGAGGTCCCATGTAGACAGCTCTTTGGTAGCAGACCTTTATAAGGTAGGGGCTGCACAGCAGGCATCTGTAGGTGCTTTTAACATCTCCGCTGCAGGGACCAGGAGTTGAGGCCGGGGGCTCACTGGTCTTTGTAAAGTCCCCGTGACGCTGTGCTAGCGGGTGAAGCTGTTTCAATGCTTCTCCCTTCCTCCCAGGGGCTGAACAATGCAGTGGCTCTGGATTTTGACTATCGGGAGCAGATGATCTACTGGACAGATGTCACCACGCAGGGCAGCATGATCCGCCGCATGCACATCAACGGGAGCAACGTTCAGGTGGGGGCCTGAGGCAGCCCCTCAGGCAGCCCCGGTCCGGGCAGCTGGTCCTCACCCACCGCCTGCACCGAGAGGCTGCCTGGAGGGGCCCAGGCTGGCACCGGGGCCACCGGGGAAGGGGGCACAAGCCCTGCTGCGTGGTCATCACTGGGCTCAGGGCATCAGCCCAGGTTGCTACGGGGATGTTTTGCAGCACCATGCCGATCAGAGGTGGGCTCCATGCTGCCCCAAAGCAGTGGGCAAGGAGGGCCGGAGGAAGAGAGGAGTGGGGAAAGGGCGCTGGGCAGCACCGTCTGCAGGGTCAACGCACCGCGGAAGGGGGACGTTGTCATCCCTGAGGGACCAGGGCAGGACCTGGTTCTCCCTGTCCAGCCCCAACATCTCTGTTTTCTCCCAACAGGTTCTTCACCGCACTGGCCTCAGCAACCCTGACGGGCTGGCTGTGGACTGGGTGGGAGGCAACCTGTACTGGTGCGACAAAGGCCGGGACACCATTGAAGTGTCGAAGCTCAACGGCGCCTACCGCACCGTGCTGGTGAACTCGGGCCTGCGTGAGCCCCGGGCGCTGGTGGTGGATGTGCAGAACGGGTGAGAGCCTGCGGGACCTGGACCTTCCCCTCTACGCAGGGAGGGGGCTGGTGGCCCCCCTGCCCTCTTGCCGTAGTCCTGGAGGCTGGGAGATGGGACAGGGCCTTCCCTCCTCGCCTCCGGGACGCCTGGCTGCTTCTCCCTGCCCTGCACCCACGTGCCCAGGCACCTTGGTTTAGCCACGCAATGGGCAGAGTGCGGCCGCTGCTGTGCCTTGGGCTGGACTCAGCCTCCCTCTGCTCTTCTGTTTCATCCCCAGTTACCTATACTGGACAGACTGGGGAGACCACTCCCTGATCGGGAAGATCGGCATGGATGGCACCAACCGCAGCGTCATCGTTGACACCAAGATAACTTGGCCCAATGGCCTCACCCTCGACTACATCAACAGCCGGATCTACTGGGCCGATGCGCGGGAGG